TTCAAAAATGGTTGCAGCAGTATAGTGACAGGAACATCCAGAAATTCAAGCGGGATTCAGTAGAGGACGTGGAATGCGGGATATTTTTGCTGATGTCAGATGGATATTGGCTGAAAGCAAAGAATACCAGAAAGATGTTTACTTGTGTTTTAGTGACTATGCAAAAGCATTCAACTGTGTGGATCATAACAAATTATGGATAACACTGAGAAGAATGGGAATTCCAGAACACTTAATTGTGCTCCTGAGGAAACTGGACATAGACCAAGAGGCTATTGTTCAAACAGAATAAGAAGATACTACATGGTTTAAAATCAGGAAGGGTGTGTGTCAGGGGTGTATCTTTCACCATAATTATTCAATCTGTATGCTAAACAGTCTGAGAAACTGGACTGTATGAAGAAGAATGTGGCCTCAGGATTGGAGGAAGACTCATGAACAACCTGCAATATGCTCAAAGTGAAGATGACTTGAAACACTTACTGATGATGATCAAGGAGTACACTCTTCAGTATGGATTATACCTCAAAATAAAGAAACAAAAATCCTCACAACTGAACCAATAAGCAACATCACAATAAATGGAAAAAAAAAGATTAAAGTTGTCAAAGATTTCATATTTCTTGGATCCACAATCAATGGCCATGGAAGCACCAATCAAGAAATCAGATTTCATATTGCACTGGACAAATCTGATGCAAGGGACCTCTTTAAAGTGTCAAAGAGCAACGATGTCACTTTGATGACTAAGGTGTGCCTGACCCAAGCCCTGGTATTGTCAATCACCTCATATGCATGTAAAAGCTGGACAATAAATAAGGAAAACCAAAGAAGAACTGATGCCTTTGAATTGTGATGTTGGTGAAGAATTCTGAAAATACAGTGAAACTGTCAGAGAACAAACAAATCTGTCCTGAAGAAGTACAACCAGAATGCTCCTTAGAAGTGAGAATGGCGAAACTTTGTCTCACATACTTGATCATGTTGTCAAAAGGGATGAGTACCTGGAGAAGTGTATCATGCTTGATAAGTAGAGGGTCAGCAAAAAAGGGGAAGACACTCAACGAGATGGATTGACACAGTGACAAATGCAACCATGGGCACAAGCAGAGCAAGGACTGTGAGGATGGCGCAGGATGGGGCAATGTTTCATTCTGTTGCACACAGGGCTGCTATGAGTCAGAGCTGACTCAATGGCACTTAACAACAGCAACAGTGAACCCTTCTCAAAAATTGTGCAGATTTTTAAGTCCTACATTATACATTTTGAGTAAGAATTTGAAGGGAAGGCATACTTAGGAATCACTCTAACACTTAAGAACACTCTGGCCTTAAAGATATGCATGTCTCTTCTAATGTTTGATCCTAAGTTTGCTTCCATTCAGCTTTCGAACTTGTAAACTGAGCCCTTCCTTGAGACTGTGGCACCTAGAGGAAAGTGAGGATGGCATTTGGTGAGGCATACTCAGGACAATGGATGGATTGACACAGTGGCTGTGATGATGGGCTCTCAAGTATAGCAGGGATTGTGGGGCTGGCGCAGGATCGGGCAGTGTTTCGTTCTACTGTGCATGGGGTCGCTATGAGTCGGAAATGCCTCAACAGCACTTAACAACAACACTCAGTACAAGACTGAGGAGAGAAACAGGAAACGTTGTCTGCATAAGCTACCACAGTCATGGTCGTATGGGGATGTGAAGACCCACAAACCACCCAGCCCAAGTTAGGTACTTACAGTGGTAGAGCACAGTTATACAGAGAGGTATGCCAAGAGTAAATGTAAGCACCCACCCTGAGGGCCTGTTAGAATGCAGTGCATTTGGATCTAATTAAGGGGCACTGAACTGAATTCTACTGAGCTGAATTACTCAATTGCTCTCACACTGATACATTTCCCAACGGAAATGTATAAAACAATAGAATTCAGGAAGTTTGGAGCAAGCCAGGGACTTAAGTTACTATAAGCTTGGATTTCTTGATTATGTCCTCAGCGGTCAAATTCATGACAGCTGCTTTAGCCTATGTTCTCAGACTCACCAGTTATGCAGGCAGAGTAAGCCAAAGCCTACATCTCCCAAAGCTCTACTCTCTCTTTTTACACCTAAAGCAGATAACCAGTTCAGCTTTAATGATTCTCTACCTAAGAACTGCTGGCATATACTGGTTGATTTTCTCCTTAATTTTGCCTCACCTGGTAGCCTTGAATAAAGAAGATTTCCCCAAGTGCAATCTGCTTCAAAATTATGTTTGCAAGCCAAACAGGAAATGTCACAAAAAAAAAAAAAAGAAAGAAAGAAAGAAATGGGGAACCATTGAAATGATTTGATCTCATTTGACCTTAATCTAAGTTTCACCAGTTACAAAGATGCTTTCAAGCCCAGAACAGGAGAGGAGCATCAATTGCTAACCTCCCTTTTCCTCCCCATGACCTAGATCAAGTGGGAGCTGAGCCCAGGGTAACCTTCTTCAAGGCCTTATCAGATATTTTTTCTTTACAGTTTGCAGTGTATCTAATAACTTTTACAGACTTACTTTCTGTCAGAAGACTAAAAACTTAAAGGGGATAACAAAGAGAACATTAAATTCCCCAAAAACATGCCTTCTGGCAAATCCCAAGACCAGCTTGGGTGCAACTGCATGCAGATTCCTATAATCAGGCTCCTCACCTCGGTGAGAAAATGGAGGGGCATCCCTATATCCTCACCCAGGTAGTCATCACCAAAAGACTTTTTGTAGACAACCTGGAAAAAAGATCTGGAAGACTAACAATTCCTTAAGACCCATGTCTAGCTCAGTATCCCTCTTCTTTTTCTGACATTTCTATGACATTTCTGGGAACCACAATATTGGTGAATCTTGCTCACTCCTCAGTATCCCTTCTCCCCACTACACAAGGCCCTACCTATGGTCACTTTCCATTTTCACTCACTTCTTATCACCTCCATTAGGGCTCAGTAACAAGAAGCAATGAGATGATTACTTAGGATGTTTAATATTCCAAGACCTGGTTGGGAAATTGGCCTCCAAGATGCCAACAATCAGTTAAAATGTTGAAAAACTCATACTAGCTATTTGACATAATAAAGTCAAAAGGAGACATGGTTTAATTCCATTTATTACTCATTTATGTGAAATAGTTTATTTGTCCTTATATTTAATCTTTGCATTTTGAATTTAACACAGCTGCCTATTGCCAAAAATACTCTGCAGTCCATATTTTTTATAAATAGTAAGAAAAAAAACCATTATATAGAAATGTCATTTGTAAGATGTTTAGGGGATCTATGATTTTCAGATAAACATCTTTTTCCATTCCTCAAGCCATTCTAATGTCATTTGACATGCAAGTAAACCCCAGTAAATTTTTTTTCCAACACAATAAAGGATTCCCAATGACCAGACCTGAGATGAAGGTCTTAAAGAAAATAAAAATTAGCTTTTGAAAAACAATTAAATAGGTGAGTTTTAGGGTATATGAATCATAATAAATCATTTTATACTAATAACTAGAATAAAGTAGATAATTACCATACTAAGGCATATTGAAAGATATCAAGCTACCTGATTTATAAATGTTAAGTATGGCCATAATTATGGAAATTTTACCTGAAGAAACTAGTTATTGATTTTCTGCTTAACCAATATTCTGTCTCTGGGCCGACATTTCACTCTAGGACTACTGAATGAGGCAAAATGTGAACATCAATTAATCAGTCACTCATTATTATTAACATACGCCTTGGAAAAGAAACCAAACTTCAGGGGAGGTTTCCCTCTTTGCTCTCATCTTATTAGTATACCTGGGTGAGGAGTAAGTCTTGGTCCTTAGACGGAAGGTGATAGCAGCATCCTAGAGGAAGCTCGTGAGTTCATCAACAAGCTATTTCAAGGACTCAATGTGCAGTATCCAAAGTAAGATATCCTTCTCTAGGGACTGGTCCTTCCTGATAACATGTCCAAAATATGTGAAACAAGGTCTCGCCATCCTTGCTTCCAAGAAGCATTCTGGCTGTATTTCTTCCAACATGGATTTATTTGTTTTTCTGGCAGTCCATGGTATATTCAATATTCTTTGGCAACACCATAATTCAAAGGCATCAACTCTTCTTCAGTCTTCCTTATCCCTTGTCTAGCTTTTGCATGCAGATGAGGTGATTGAAAATACCATGGCTTGAGTCAGGGGCACCTTAGTCCTCAAAACAGCATCATTACTTTTTAACACATAAAAGAGGGTTTTTACAGCAGATCTGCCCAATGCAATATGTTGTTTAATTTCTTGACTGCTGCATCCATGGGCATTGATTGTGGGTCCAAGTAAAATGCAATCCTTGACAACTGCAATATTTTCTCCATTTACTATGATGTGTTTACTGGTCCAGTTATGAGGATTTTTGTTTTCTTCATGTTGGGGAATAGTCCATTCTGAAGGCTGTAGTCTTTGATCTTCATCAATAGTGCTTCAAGTCCTCTTCAATTTCAGTAAGCAGTTAAAGCAGTAATTAGTGGGACATGCATAACTTTAAATAAATTTTCCAAGATACAATAAAAGTTGAAAACTAATAATCTAAGCCTAAAACTAAGGAAAATGAAAAAGAATAAAAGAGCTAATCCAAAGAGTATTTTTTAAATTATGAACTCTCTTGAGACTATTTTTTCCCCAAAATATGTAGGACATGAAATTCATATGCACCTGGTTATAAGTAACTAACGGTACAATCAAATGTAACATGTCAGTTTGTTATACTTTCCTTTCTCTTAGTCACTTCTACTAAGTTTCCTAAACAGAAAACACTGAACTCTGTAGAAAACAGATTTGGTCAAGCATCTAACAACAACAGAAAAAAAGTACAAAGGAGAAAATGTGTGGGTTCAGTTAGTAGTTTCTATCCAAGGTGGAGAATTATCTGGTTAAACTTTTAGCAAAAGCAATGTTTTAAACAGAGATCTGCACCCATCCAGAGTTTCAAGTTTAACATGTCTTCTACATATTTTGTTTCCAGCTAGGACGAACCCTGAGGAGCCCTTTCATGAAGTTTGTAGCCCATGCAGTTTCTTTTACAATTTTCCTGGGATTGTTAGTTGTGAATGCATCTGACCGTTTTGAAGGAGTTAAAACGCTGCCAAATGAAACCTTCACAGACTACCCAAAACAAATCTTCAGAGTGAAAACCACACAGTTTTCCTGGACAGAAATGCTAATCATGAAGTGGGTCTTAGGTAAGCAAATTGCTCTATCTTTTATTCTCTCCTCCCTAATCATAATGGGACATTATTAAGCTCTGACTTCTGAAACTCTTTCTCTCCTCTTCTGCACACTCCCAACTGACAGAATGATGAGTGGAAGACCAGGATGGAAGTCAGGGTTAACTTCTGTAGGTGGTGGTGTATACGATGCACAGACCTTTAATATAAACCCCAATTTTGAAAGAAAATGTTTAGGGAGCAATTTGTTAAGTATTTTTTATTATACACCCCACTGCTATTGAGTCACTTCTGACTCACAGTGACCCCAGTATGTTTCCAAGGCTGTAAATCTTTATGGAAGGAGGTTGCCTCATCTTCCTCCTGCAGATAAACATGTATTGAAAGTGCTTTTAATTATTTAAATATAGTCTATGAGAAACCATTAAGAAATCACAAGTTCTATTTCTAAAAATATATATACGTAAAATTGTATAGCTTGGAAGATATTTTTGTTATTCTTGAATACTGATATATAGCTGATTGCAGTAATAAATACAAACCTGAAAAGTTCAGAGAGTAACATCTCTCATATCTATGTAAGAAAAGTACAAAAAACTTCTGAAATTCTTCTTTGTGCTCCCAAGGCAATGACTCTGGAATATCTCAAGAAAAGTGTTATCAATTTTCTCACTGATTAAAAAAGGCTCTTTTTTTATCCAATTCATAAGAATTATTACTAGTAGGAATAAGCAAAATAAAATTAAACTCAAAATGGCTAAAATTATACATGGTAAATGTGTTAGACTTTTCTTTCTGACACTGAAAACTGAAAAATTTGGTTTAAAAAACTAGAATAGGTAGGAATAAAATTAAAATTACAAAAGCTATAATCATTGACATTCTATATAAGCAAAACCTTGTCAATAAATTACAAATTAAAAAATAAAAAATATTTGAATTTGATGAGATTATTTTGAGAATAAAATTGAAGCTAGAAAATATTAGGGAAAAAAATGAACTATGCAGTATAAAGATTTGATCAGTTAATCAAAATGGCCTAATGGTATTCATCTCAGATTTTGTTCTCTTGACAAAAATCCAACATTGGTATAATTTTCATTATGTTTATGTTCACAAATTCAGCATTGAAATGTATTCAGGATCAAAGTGTCTTTGCCATCGATCAACAAAATCATAAAGAAACACTTGAAAAGATAACCCTATGCCTAAAAAAAAAAAAAAAAAAAAAAACCAAACTTACTACCATAGAGTCATATCCAATAAATAAAGACCCCTCCTTGGGTTTCCAAGGCAGTATCACTACAGAAGTAGATTGCCTAACCTTCCTTCCGAGAAGTGGCTGGTAGGTTTGAACCACCAGCCTTCTGGTTAGCAGTCAAATGCCTTAGGCACTTGTGATAATTAAATATGACCTTAGAGAGCTAGAATTGGGCCACTGGGGAGCAATCTATGGATGCCCAAACTGAAAACAATCGGGAATATGGTCTCTAAGATGAATTTTTAAGCAAGCAGAGGGAAATGAGAAGAATGGTTTGATCCAAAGAGCAGAGGCAAGAAATCACACCATCCTTCCCAGGGACAATTAACCACCAACAACTTTGTAGCCAAAGGCTGTATGTAGTCATTGGCACTAAAGTTGGAAAGAGACATTGAGATCTGTTGGAGACTGAGTTCTGTGGCCTAAATTTCAGAGTCTATTCCAATTCTCCCCTAGTTCACTCCATGAACCATTTTCATACTGTTGTTACATGCCGTTGAGTTGCCCCCAACTCAGCGACCCCTCCTTGGGTTTCCGAGGCAGTATCACTACAGAAATAGATTGCCCAACCTTCCTTCCAAGGAGTGGCTGGTGGGTTTGAACCACCAGCCTTCTGGTCAGCAGTCAAGTGCCTTAGGC